GCTTTTCTCCGGCAAAACCCTGAGCCGGAAAAAAGCGGCAGCCATGTTCATGCAAATGCCGCGGGGGATATTTAAATCCCCCGCGGCATTTGCAATTCCGAAGTGTCTCATTAGCATCCCTTTTACGGAAAAGGGTGCCAATGTAGACACAGCCGTAGTGTTTAAGCCACCATATTTGCTCCCCCAGTTGCTTGGTGCACAGGTGGAATGTACAGTTTAAAACATCTCTTGTGATAGCGCATCCTTTTCCCCTCACAGCCTCTCCAGCCATCTCAAAAGGGTAGTGCAGCCAGAGGATGCGGGAGCAAACTAGAGCTTCACTCACAAAACCCAATCCTCTATCCTTTAAAATAAAATTCTGACTCAAAACCTGTTTGGTACTTTGACGGTGGCATTCCATTCTGCCACATGGAAGCAGTGTCTGATAAGCATTCCGAGGGCATTCGCCCCTTGGAAGCTCTCCCTCGGAGTGTAAGAGTATCATAATTATAAATCATGGCTCTGTAGTTAAGACTGAACCCAAATTAGAGCTGACTGAATCATATGTGTGGAATAAATTTATTTCAAATAACATTTCCAATTAGTATTGGTGCATTATTGACCTTGGTTGGTAAGTAATGAAAGAAAGTATTTGTCAGATAAATTATTTTATTCTTTTCTCAATTTTTTAAACATATTTGCCTAGTACACTGTTCAGTATTAACCCAGTTCTAATAAAAGTACATCTGAGTGAGGGATGTAAAATCCCATTTAATTGATTAACTGGTTAAACATGATGGCTAACTGGTTAACCGATTAAAGGAGTGCAGAAGGGGGGCTGCTCCAGCCATGCTAGGCTGGAGCGGCCCTCTCACTTGCTGCAGCCAGTCTGGAGTGGCCTCCCCCCCACTGCAGGCAGTGGCTGCTCCAAATGTCTTGAGAGCCCTTGCCTGTGACACACCTGGGCCCACTACAGACAGGGGATGCTCTGGCCAGGCTAGAATGCTTCTGTCTGCAGCAGGCCCCACTGAGCTGGAGCAGCCAGCCCCCTGCCAGCTCCAGGCTGGGAGCTGCTTCAACTCCCACCGGTTAGCCAGCTAACCAGTTAATCTTTCACGTCGCTAATCTGAGCCCTAGCTCTTGTGGTTGAAATGAGGGTAAATATGGCCTCACTATTCTATTCAGTTTAATCTAATCTATCAAGATTTATAGGGCACTTAACATCACATACTCTCTGTTCCAAGAGACTAACCACAAAAACAAAAATGGCTGAATACAGAAAAGACAGTAAACCAGTAACAGTGTCTGTGTGAAGAGTCTCATGGAAATAAATCAAAGCACACACACAGGCATAGGTTAGTGCTTTTATTAGTGGAATGGCAGCAGTCTGTTTCCTACTAAATAAACTTTTTCAGCATTGTTGGGCTTGTCATAATACCATAATGCAGCGGTTTCACAGGCCCAGAATGTTCAGCAGATGGCTGGGAAAAAAGGATCAGCTCCAGACATCTCTTCATTATGTACTCTCCAAAATGCAGAATATTTTACAATAGAGACACTAGCATGGAGAAAATAGTGTATTTGAAAAATCAATTTCTGGAAGAATGATTTGAATTTTGGCAGGCTTCCTTGGATTAATAGAAAGAGGCTGTTTATTGAGCAGGAAATCTGAAAATTGATCTGCTTTTGAGTTATAATTTAATTCTTGGTTTAGAATGCTGAATGTAAGAGAAAATATCACTGAATACAACAAATAAAAGTACATACAGTGGAGATATAGAAACATTTAAAATCTGTATTGTTTGTTTTGTAGTATGTTGCATACCTACTATTTGATTTAAATTTTTAAATAATGGATTCTTGTCTTAAAAGTACTTTTCTTTTTTTTTTAAGAATACTAAACCAGTTGCAATCCAGTCCAACCTCTCTATATAATCACAGGCTGTTTATTAAACACAGAACCATCATGTAAAAGAAAGTAAAATGCCCTTTTTGAGTGACTGTTCCTATGCGGTTGTTCTTTAGTTGATTTTTTTTAAGTTACATATGCTTTTTTTTTAAGTTACATATCCTTTACTCTGCCTTTGGCAGCTAAAAAGAAATGTTGTATATACCTGTTTAAAATGTGACAATCATGAAAGAAGCTGTAAAAGTAGGGTTGCCAGATGGTTACAACAAAAATACCGGACACACTTGACATTACATCACAATCTAAATTACATCTTATTTAGAAAATACCGGACATTTATTTTTCTCATTTATATTTTTTCAATTTGTTTCCCAAACAGAAAACTCAAATACTGGACTATCCGGTTCAAAACTGGACACCTGGCAACCCTATGTAAAAGCTATAAATGAAACTTTCAGATGTACCAGTCATGCCCTCTTGCATGAAATCATCTTGGCTACGTCTACACTGGCCCCTTTTCCGGAAGGGGCATGTAAATTTCAGCAGTCGTCGTAGGGAAATCCACGGGGGATTTAAATATCCCCCGCGGCATTTAAATAAAAATGTCCGCCGCTTTTTTCCGGCTTTTAAAAAAGCCGGAAAAGAGCGTCTAGACTGGCCCCGATCCTCCGGAAAAAGTGCCCTTTTCCGGAGGCTCTTATTCTTACTTCAAAGTGGCTCTTTGAAGTAAGAATAAGAGCCTCTGGAAAAGGGCACTTTTTCCGGAGGATCGGGGCCAGTCTAGACGCTCTTTTCCGGCTTTTTTAAAAGCCGGAAAAAAGCGGCGGACATTTTTATTTAAATGCCGCGGGGGATATTTAAATCCCCCGCGGATTTCCCTACGACGACTAGTGAAATTTACATGCCCCTTCCGGAAAAGGGGCCAGTGTAGACGTAGCCTTACAGACGTAGCCCTTGTGTATAGCAATATTTCATTAAAAGAAAACCATCACTGTAATAATAGATTAACTATAATTCTTTCCTCTATTATTTTGACATTTGCAACTTTATTATGTTCGTGCCCCCATGCAGGTAGTTTTTATCTGCTTTTTCATTACACCCATATCTTTCAACTCTGAGCAGATGGAAAAATTGTCCAAGGACTAAGGGTGCATCTAAACATCACCCTTCTATGCAAAATGCGTAGTTTATTCTGGGTCTAAATTGAAAGAGCTTATTTTGAAATTTGGCTCTGTGGCACCAAATTTCAAAATAAGGCACTATTCTGACAAATCCCTTAAACCTTGTGAAATGAGGGTTACAGGGATGCTGTCATAGATGACAGGCAGCTATCTAGATGAGTTGATGTTCCTCATCTTGTGGAAAATAAAACCTTTTCCGAAAGATCCCTTATCCCTCTATGAAATAAGGGATAAGGGATCTTTCGGAAAAGGCTTTATTTTCCGCAAGATCAGCATCTAGACTGGCACTTTTTTCCGACAAAGCTCCGTGCGGAAAAAAAGCGGCAGCCATTTTTATGCTAATGAAGCAGGGGAGATTTAAATCCCCGCTTCATTAGCAATTGCGATACGTCTAATCTACATCCCTTTTACGAAAAAGGGATGTAGGCTAGACATAGCCTCTGTGTGCAAATCTCCCCCTATTGCAGTGGCTCTAAACAGAGTTACATGTATCCCTTGGGGTACACAGAAGTCTTCCAGGGGGTACATCAACTCATCTAGATAGCTGCCTAGTTTTACAACAGGCTACATATAAAGCACTGGCACAGTCAGTACACACACTAAAATTTTGTACAATCACTTGTTTATACTGTTCTGTATACTATACTTTGAAATGTAAGTACAATATTTACATTCCAGTTGATTTACTGTATAATTACATGGTAAAAAAGAGAGAGTAAGCAATTTTCCAGTAATAGCATGCTGTGACACTTTTGTATTTCTATGTCTGATTTTGTAAACAAGTGGTTTTTAAGTGAGTTGAAACTTGAGATGTGCAAGACAAATCAGACTCCTGGAAGGAGTACAGTAATCTGGAAAGGTTGAGAGCCATTGCCTCTCTGCCAGGAAGCTGGAGCCTTCAAAGTGAATGTTTATGATGTCCAGATCATTTCCCAAAGGTCTCTCAGTGGATCTATGATTTCTGAGGGTGATGCATCTGCACATTTCATGGGGTGGGAGGCAGGGGAAAAACCTCACACCTCTGATATGGCATTCTGGGGAAAATTCTGCAAGGCAAAATTTGCAGTATTCCATCCTAATCTCAGGATTCCTTCAGCAAGAGGTGATCTGTGCCTTAAGGTTTGCTCACATCACAGAAGAGTGGAACAATTCAGCACATTTATAGCTTTTGCTCAGAGAGCCCTCCCCTCCAAAAAATGGAACAACAAGGGTTTGAGATCAGTACTGAAATATAATGGTAACACTGACACTTTTTAATGAGAATAAACATTCACTCTTCAGATGTATTTTAAAACACATTTCTGGCCTTCATCACTATTCATCAGCTGTCTTTATTGTACTTTCCTATGCCAAATTTGCAAGTGGTCTCAAAACCAAACTAAAATTGCACCTGCATTATGCAAATGCAAGACTGGTATTTGCTTGTGAAAATTGGGCAGGAGTCCACCAGATTTATGCAAGAAAATACTTGTGAATAGAATTTTATTAAACCAATTTTACAAATTTGGCTATTAAGATCAGAATTTCCCATGGTACTACACTATAAACAAATAAGTGCTGAACACCCTTTCAGGTTGATTGATGTGATGATACATCAATCCAAGTGCCAGACTAATATTGATCAATACTTTAAAGCCAGAAAGTACGCCATGTCATCTTTTTAAAGGTATTTTCTGTATAGAAAATTATTTAAATTTGCAATGTTGAGCATTTACTTTCTCCAATTTTTTTTTTTTAAAGAATTCCTAGTGGATTTTCATCTGTTAAAAGATGCACTAGAAATAGAGACCTAGGTTAGACAAGACCCATATAGCTACAGATACTGGGTTACGTTGGCTTATCCAGGTGTAGCGCCCCTCTCCACCTGGTTACCTTCTTTTAGAGCCAATCTCCTTTCAGGTTCGGATGGATAGGTCTGGGTTCTTCTGGATCCCGCCACCTACTCAATTTTATTCTTTCTGATTGATGTACTTGGCGGTGCCTCCACCCCCCTCACTCCTTCCTAGCAGGGTTGCCAGGGCAGCTTGGGAGGAAAATTCTAGCCCAGGATAATCCCCACGTATTCGCCAGATAGTTGGAGACTCCCAGAAAATAACACAAACACATACACTATAATAAACACAATTATATTAAACAGGAGACAATTATAACAGAACAGGGTAAAACATTATTTTTAGGGTCACCGGTGCCCTGCAACTGTGAAGTTAGTGTCCCGTTGGTACGCGTACTTTGTTGGGGCCCTTGATGACTGTTGACCACACAATCCTTCTCTGCAGAGGTTTAGCAGTGGGGCTGACTAGGTCCAGTACAGCCCAAAGGACTCACAAATGGGAGAAGGCAGCAAATCCCTCCACAGTTTAATAGGCTGCAGGTAATAAAATCCCCAAACAAATTCCCTGACTTACTAACTAAAAATTGGTGCACTCACACACTCCATGAATGAGCCTCAGGTTGAGAGATGACTCAGTCTCTGCAAAGGGGCTGCTCTCTTCTCACAGGGGTCCTCTTCAAGCAGGAACCAGGCTGCTTCGGTCCCAGAATTTCCCCTCACCGCGAAGGGGTGCAGGGCTCAAGATGCAGACCACACAACTGCACCAAAATTCAAAACTATAGCGTCCCAGCCCAGCCTCCAGACCCACACAGCAGGCAGCAGCCCTGAACTTGCTGCTAGAGCCCAGCTGACCATGCAGTGACTCTCTCACCCAGGGAGCTGGAGAGCCAACTCCGCCTGGCTGGGGAAGCCTCCCAGCAAACTCCACAACTGGGAATCAACAGTGGAGACATAAACCCAGCTGAGGGATCCTGCCTTCAGGTCCCTAGAGGCTAGCTCTCAGGGGGAACCCTGCATGCAGGCCTGGGGCTTACTAGCTCCCACACACTCAGTCCTCCCCTTTTCCTGGCTGGCTCCAGACTCCCCTCAACAATGGTCTCTCCTTCCCCCTGGGAGGGGCATCTCACTCCCTGTGGGTTGCCGGGCAGACTCTGGCCCTGGTAGGGAGGGGGAGCCAAGGCAAACTCAGAGTGCCTCTCCCTGAGCTGCCAGCAGACAAAGCCCCGGGAATCCAAGCAATCTCCTTGGGGGTTACACAGGGAAGACAACCCCACTCCACACCCACCAGCTTTACACCATCGATGTGCAGAGGTGCACGAGTAAGCTTGTCATATCCCCCAGGCCCTATCTTCAGAAGCAGATTCTCTTTTCATACTCAGGGTCCTCAGTGTGCAGGAGCCACAGCCCCCTTTCACAATGTCCCATTAGGGAATGCACTGGCTCCCTACCTCTACTTTTTGAGAAGCTGAACAGAATATTGTCCCCCTCCTGTCAGAAACCCATTGGCGTCAGGGGAAGGGAGCTTCCTCTCTTCGTCTTGATCACTTTTTTGTTCAGAAAACAAGTCCCTCCTCTGCTTATCTCACAGACCCATTTCAGAGCCCTGCTGCCCTTTGCATTTCTTCCCTGCTGCCTGAAAGTCAGTCGGACACAGCAGTGTCAGAGGACTTTATTCACTTGAGCTCAACAACCAAAAGGAACATTGTGACCAAGAAAGGCAGTCTTGAGCAAGCCCATCAGGTCTGAACAGGCATTACACTGCAGAGCTAGCAGCTAAGGAGGCTGATTTGGGTTGCATGGTGCCTTTAAATTTTCTCATTATAAACTATGACATGGAAAAAATCTTATGTTATTTTTAACTACTTGAGCCATTTTAACTGTTACTGGGGTAACAAGGGTATTGTATAATTTATGCATAGATGAAGCAATTTTTACCATTGTGTTTCTGCAGAAAGCCAATGACTTTTTCAAGCACTGTAGTTTTGTCCATTTTACGGCTGTTGCCTGGAAGCATGGAGCTGAGCTCTTTGATGAGAATGTTGAATTGGTCACGTCTCTTCTTTTCAGACTTGTTACGTGATGCCCTATAAATATGAAAATTAAAAAAAAATTGAATGAATTAGAAAGAATCCATGAATGGACCAGAAAGAATGATTACATATTCCTCTTGCAACATTTTATTTAGAAAATGAACACTCTGTGCATTGATGGCTAGCACCAGGCAAAAACTACATGGACATAAGCAGGATTTGAAGGAATGCTTCCCTTACAGCTAGCCAGAATGGGAGAGAAACCCTGGGTGTGTCTATGTAAATACAGTTTGCTCCTGCTTTGCTTAGATTTGTTAAATAGTCTGCAGATGGAGTGGCATTTGCTCATTGTGACCCAAACCTGCTTTGTTTGTATTAAATACAAGGACTGCTAAAATATGGTTACCAATGTTTGTAAATTTGTGGGAATACAAAAAAAGTAGGACTGTGCTAAATTGTTCCAAATGAAAGGGCTCACAGTCTGTGGAAAGAATTTTGTAAATGCGGGGGCTCCTGTTTCAGAGCTCTATGAGAGGGAAGGGGTGAGGGAAGGTTATTCTGGTTTGGAGACTATATGGCTTCTCCTGCCTGAATTGGTTTGACTAGTTCTCTGCCCCTGCCACATTCTTATGATAATTGTGCTGGAGTTGTGTTTCTTCTATCCTGCTCCCTAAGAGTTGAAATCACTGGGAGCTTAAATCATTTGAGACCGATGGACAGGAGTCACAGTCTAGAAATGGATGGCAGCAGATGGTGACTGAGAGCCAGCAGGTCAGTGGTGGAGAGATGTGATGAGTGGCCAGCAGGGCGGCAGCAAAGAGGTGAGGCAAATGGCCAGCAGGGCAGTGATGGAGATAAGTGAGCAGGCGAATGGCGAGCGATCAGCAGAGTAAGATGTTTCTTTACCTCCCCCCACTTAGGATGGGAGGTGAACTCTGCGGATGCACTTCTGAACTCGGGGTCTGCCCTGACCAACAGCAGTAACTGTGAGTTGGGTGCAGAGAAGGGTTGAGCATGAGAAGGGGACATTTAGGTTGCTGGACTTAAGAACCTGAGAGGAAAAGGACATCTCCCAACCTATTGGGGGTGGGACTGTTTTACTCATGGTTTATGTTTATAACTCTTTTTGTGGTGTTTTCCCAAATTAATGCCAAGTTACTTCCTTCCCCTTTATTAAATGTTTCTCTTCTACACTCAGACTCTGTGCTTGCCAGTGGGGAAGCATTGCCTCCCAGAGGCACCCAGGGGTGTTGTGTGAATTTCCCAGGTTACTGGGTGGAAGGCTTGAGCCAGTTCTGTGTTGGATGGATGGAGAGGAGTCCCTAGATATTGAACCTGGCCCTGGCTGCCACTGGCTCTACCTGGTAGAAGGGTTACATAAGCAACCAAGAACTGACCTTTCTCCATCTCACCTTTGTGACCTCTTTGCTGGAACACGTTGAGAAGAAATATGGTCCAATGGATGGAGTGTGAGGCTGGGAAACAACAGAGCTGGATTTTATTCCCATCTCTGCTCTGTGACTTTATTATCCCATTCCTGTGCTCTCGTCTTGGCTTCTCTGACCTTCCCCTAATGTTCTTATGTTCCCTATCACTCTAGCAGTAGGCCAGGATGTGGAGGAATTTCATGTTCTTGTTTTCTGACAAATCATAAAGCTGGTTTTGTGAGCACAGGTTTTCAAGCGTGTACTCAAAATTCATGCATGATGAGGTATTTTCAGTAAAGGAAGATTATAAGTAGACAAGATAATAATATGACAACACTTTTTGTTGGCTCAGGAAACAATTTATAATGCTCACATTTTTTGGGATGGTCAAAATACTGGAGTATCCAAAATTATTTGTTGGTCAGATAAAAAAGTAAAAAAACAGTGGCAGTTTATAAGCATCCTGTGCAAGCTTAATTATAGAAATGAAAGTTGGTCTTGTGGTTTAGTCACCCGACTGTGGTTCTAGGTTCAAATCCCAATTTTGTTGTAGACTCTATCAGTGTTCCCTCTAAGATTTTCTGTCCATGACTGGAGTGAGTTTTGTCTTGTGCACCAATACTGAGGTCATGTGCACGTGTTCGGAAGTGTGCCACACTTGCACCTACCAGTTACTAACGAATATCATATTCATATCAATATATATATATATTAAATGTTTCAGAAGGAAGAATACTAAAAACAGCCCTTTCCCAGTCACAATGAATAAAAAGAGCTGTTAAGTCAGAACTTTTACCCAAGCACCCTTATTATGGCTGACCCCAAGTGCCAATGTACTACTGTATCATACCATCAGTTATGCTATGTCTAGACTGCAGGCTTCTTTTGGAAGAAGCTTTTTTTGGAAGAGATCTTACGTAAAAACTTTTTCTGAAAGAGAGCATCCACACTACAAAAGCGCATCAAAAAAGCGATCTGCTTTTTTGAAAGAGAGCGCCCAGACTGAATGGATGCTCTCTCACATGTGAGCTGTGATTACTATGGATGGAATGGCCACCAGGGCACCAGTGCTTTTTCCTCTTTCCTCTTCTTTTGAAAGAACTCCTTCTTCCCCATCCACACACGCTTTTTTGTGAAAGAACTCTTTTAGAAAAAGGCCTCTTCCTCGTAGAAAGATGATTACCAATGCCAGAAAAGCCCTCTGTTCTTTAAATTTTCTTGCGGATTTGGACGTTTCTCAAGTTTTGTCAGAAAAACAGCCGTTTTTCCAACAAAACTCTGTAGTGTAGACATACCCTTACAGAAAAGGTAACAAGACATCACCCTGACACACACACACACACATACCTGCAAAGTTTGAACAATAAGCTGTTTTTCTTAAAGACCTGTGCTTCGCTGCTACACAACACCAGTAATAAATGGTGGTAGAAACCCCAAGCAATCAAACCTCAGGAGAAAGATTTCAGGAACTTTTGTCCCTAGCAGCATCAATTTTTAAGGTAGCTCTATTCTTCCCCTCAACCACCACAGGGTGTCTTGAGCTCTGACTAATGGCTCTGCACAGGGGATGAACTAGCAGGAGAAGTGGGCAGGGAAGGGGGCATGGGTTTACTATGTTGTTTCCATTAACATTTGGGGGCCAGCTCAACACGTTTTAGGGATTTTCAAAGCAAACCTGGGACTGGACAGGACACAGAGGAGAGACAGAGGCAGCGGAATCCCTGCCCCAAGGAGCTTAGAACATCTGTTGATTATGAGTTATGTTTGCTATCAGGCTCCCTCGTATCTCCCAGCCCTGAGTGTTCGACCACTCACTGTCAGTCCAGCCCCATGTCCTGAACTCCCTGGCCCCAGTGCAAAGGATGAGCTGGTGGCTGCTGTCTCTGGGAAGCTGGCACCCAATCCAAGGTGGATGGCACTGTGTGAACACACTGTCTTCGGGGTAAGGGCTGGGTGCTGGCAGCTCTCACCAGTTTCCAGCAGATTGCGCAACACAAACTCATTGGCCGCTGCCACGTCCTACTCCCGGGTCACATCCAGAAGCAGCATCTGCAGGAGGCTGGAGCTGGAGGTGGCTTCCCGCTGTAGTGTGGCAGCTCTGGTCCTGACTGGGGCCACCAAAACAGCCAGCTGCTGGAACAGCTGCTGCCTGCCATGCGGCTCTGGCTCTGGCTGGGGCTGCCAAAGCAGTTGACCACATGGCCTGCAGATCCCGCCCTGGGGAAGGGCTGAAGATAGGGCCAGGGCCACGAGGTGACTGCCCTGCTGCTCCTGGGGTAGGAGGCAGTCACTTGCCCTGTGGCCTCACCCTGAGCAGCTACTGCGTGACCCTGCTGAGGAGGTGGGCGGGCCTCAAAATTCTTGATGCGCACCCTAGAGGGAATACTGGACTCCGGGTATGTCTACACATCAGAGTTATTTCAGGATACCAGAGGTATCCCAAAATAGCTACCCCACATCTTTTGAACATATTTGCTATTCCGAAATATAGTGGCTGTGCTATTTCGCCGTCCCTGTAAACCTCATTGTATGAGGAGTAAGGGATGGCTCAAAATAGCACTTTATTTCAAAATTTGGTGCTGTGTAGACAGCGCAAAATTTCAAAATAGCCTATTTTGAAATAGACTCGAAATAAGCTACACAATGTGCGTAGTGCAAATTGAATATCTTATTTTGAGTTTATGGTGCTGTGTAGATGCACCCTATATGTCCCATTGAGTAAGTCACTTAATTTCACTGTGCGTCACTTCTCTATCTGTAAAATGGGGATAATACTACTCCCCTTGTAGGACTTGTCTATTTAAATTGTAAATTCTTCAGGGTAGGGCAGGGGTGTTGGAAAATTTTTATAGTGAGGAGGTTGAGAGCCGCTGAACCAAATTGTAAACATGGTATATAGTGTAAGCTACTTCAAGCCAGGTGGTGCAGAACCACCATCTAAACTCCTAAATCCAGTATCAATGGGGCAGGAACTGTTTCTTTTGTGACTGTACTGTAGAACAATGGGGCCGATTTAATCAGGGTCTTTCAGACACTACCTTGAAGCTTTTCCTGCTGTTCCTAGTAATCTTTTCAAAAGCTATATTTTTATTTTAATTCATACTAGGCCTCCCAATATGAACATTTTTATGTATGTTAACGGGGAGAGTTTTTCAAGAAGGTGTCACCTGGGTTTATATGACAAGGCAAAAAATGAACTGTAAAATATGCCAGAACTTCTGCTTACTCCACTGAAAGGGTCCAGGCAAATAAGAACACCAGAGGCGAAGGCTGACTTGGTTAAATGTTAAAAGCTACAAATCTGATAAAAAACAGACAGGATTTAATAATGACCAGGCCAACAGCTACTCAAAGTCATACCAGCAACTATCCAGTAATTCCACTGTTATTAATGAAGAAATCTGGACGTATACCTGGGTAAATGAGAATAAAATTTGACCCAACTTTTACATTCCTCCAAGGACCAGTATCACAATAAATATTTTCAGGAGCAATATTACAGTGGAGGCTTCCATATGTTACTAGTGATGAGGGGTGAGGAAGAAGAGGATTTTTGTTTATCTTGCTCTCAAGCCTGAATATTCTTTGAAAGGCACTAGAAAGAAGCCAATCCTTTGGTTATTTATTTTTCAGCTTTGAACACAAAAGGTTGAGTGGGTGCTGTCTGACTGATTTCAGCCTACTTCAGTTACAAGTGCAGAAGACTGTCGGGACAAAATTTGCATCTCTCTTCATTGTATTTCTGAACAATTCAAGAAAATGTATAGAAAATCAACATTTTATGGTCATGTAATTTAACCCATGATAGCTTGAAGGCCCCCATTTCCCCAAAAACTGAAACAACCCTCCAACCATATTTAGAGTATGTGTTGCTTGCCCAGAAAGAAAGAGATATTTTGAGAGAAATCAGAAAGTACCTATTTTTAAATACTTGTCATTTTATTTTCAAAGGGAATTTGAAAACTTCTGTAGTGGAAATAACTCTACCAAAATCCAAATCAATTAACATAATTGACTCTTTAAAGGAACAAACCAGAAAATTTTATTAAGTTGCTAATCTATCTTTTTGCCAGTGCAGGGTTCTATATTTCCTAGTGTTTTGTTCAGTCAAGTTTTAAATGCCTTAAACAATACAGGTTCCATCACTTCCCTTAAAAGCTTTTTCTATAGTCTAGCGAATTTCACTATTAAGCTGCTGAAGCTGTCCTTAATTTCATACTAATAATTCTGGTTATGTACCTCCTGGTTATCTTAAAAGGACATTGGCATATGCCAATGGGAAAAAAGATACACCCTCTGAATGGAATTTTGATTTTGAGTGAATAATAGCAAAGACTTGACCCTATGCATCACCAAAAATGCCCCTTACAAAAAAAGGCGTTAAAATGACTGAAATGGTAAAGACGGCTATGTCTACACGGCTGGCTTTTGTGGGCAGAGAGTATACAAATGAAGTGCTGATTAGCATTTTGTTGTGCTTCATTTGCATAATGTATTCCTTCCGGATAAAGATCTTCTGCAAAAAGGGTTTTTTGCGCAAAAAGGTAACATCCACACTGCTTGATTTTGCGCAAAACCCCTTGTGCAAAAAAATGGCTTGAATAGCTTATGCAAATGAAGTGTGACAAAATGCTAATCAGCACTTCATTTGTATACTCTCTGCCCACAAGACAATTACCACTATTTAAGATATGTGTTATCCTCTGTTCTTGTGTTTGTTGCTCACTCGTCCTCCTTTTGAATGGCTGCCTGGCATGAATCATAAAAGTAATTTGGATCTCAGTCTGCACTAGTAGTGACAGTTAAATCTGTAACTCTTCCCTCTATTCTCCCCTTTGCTTCTTTCCCCACTCCAGGCAAGACAATCCCTCATTCCAGCAATGCCTGACAACGTATGACATTTTCAGTTGTGCTATACCATCTCCAAAGACATCTTTTCATGCTCAAATGTGGCATGAGGCATCCACACTCTTCATCCTCCTCCTCTGTTCACAGATTTCTCCATTATTTAGAGATGGTTTGGTGCATTTTTACATAGTGCCTCTTTGTAATGTGCATTAATAATACTATGTTTAGCAACTCTCATGCATTAAGCCCCTTGTGAAGAGTGTTGGCACAATGGCTTTGAGAAAACTTTTGACAGGCCCTTTGCCTCAGAAGACATCCCTTGAGTCCTAAGTGGTAGCAGCATTTAGGTCAGTCAGCACATTGCTTTTGGTATCAAGCAGTGGGCTTCTGTATCTTGAGTGTGCATGAATTAGAAAAGAAGTTAAGGAGAACAGTTGAGCAAGACTGCCGCACGTTCTGACCTATATTAGTGAAAAAAGGCCGCAGGAGGGAAGAACCAGGAAAAGAATCTAAAGAGATGAGCCTGAACCAACTAGTTGTGCCTGGACTGGAAATACTTTCATTAGAAAGAACAAAACAAAAAAAAATTACACGTGACCTATGGCTTCCTCTACACCAGTTACACTGCTGGTTGCAATACTTATCACTCACACATCCAAAAAATACCTGCTAGCAAACAGCGATAGAGAAGCAGCCGTGTTAGTCTGGTCTAGCTGAAACAAAAGACAGAACTATGTAGCACTTTAAAGACTAACAAGATGGTTTATTAGGTGATGAGCTTTCGTGGGCCAGACCCACTTCCTCAGATCAATTTGTGGAAGAAAATTGGCTCAACCATATATACCAAAGTGATACAATCAAAAAAATGAACACATATGAAATTAACAAATCAAATTTTAGAACAGAGTGGGGGTGAGGGGGGAAGGTTAGTGTCTATGAGGTAATGACATTAGGGGTGATAACTGGGAAGCTATCTTTGTAACGGGTGAGATAATTAGAATCTTTGTTGAGACTTCAGGATCTCTACCAAGCATTTATAAACCTCAATTACCCACCCGGAGAAATAATAAAACAAATTGAAAGAGCCAGACGAATACCCAGAAACCATCTACTTCAAGACAGACCCAAGAAAACCAACAATAGAACACCACTTGTCATCACCTACAGCCACCAACTTAAACTTGTCCAGCACATTATCAATAAACTACTAGCAAACAGATTCTGTGATACTCCTGGTTCCAGCCAATTATTATGGAGTTTTACCATAACAAATTATTTTCTACCTCAAAAAGCAACCCCTACAAAATGTTAATAGCAATTTCCTGTGTATGTATTAACTGTGACATTATCACTGTAGTTAACAGTGTGTCAACCCCCTAAAACCCAATCAATTAGCCAAAAATTCAGCATCTGGTGGATTGCTCCAGTTAGGAACAGTAATTGGCGATGCAACCAGAAGTTTCTTTGAAGCAATATAGTTTATTTACAAAAAAATTACAAAGACCTGTTTCCCCAAAAACAGCAGGACTCAAACAACAAGATGGTGTCTTTCCTCACAGTAGCAGGCACCTTTTCTAATCAGACTTGGCTCAAAAGCTGTCTCTCAAGCTTTTTTCCCCTTTCCCTAAACTTTCTTAAGTTTTCTTAAGATCACATTCCCAGTGCTTGTTCACATTTGCGTATTTTATTTTGATATTTCAAAATAGCTCATTTCAAAATTTGGCACTGTCTACACAGCACTTATTTCAAAATAAATTGCTATTCTGAAGCATTCCTTACATCTCAAGGAATGAGGTTTACAGGGACATCAGAACAATGAGCCCATTTTGAAATAATGGGTGTACTCAAAAGATGCAGAATAGCTATTTTGGGATACCTCCAGTATCTTGAAATAGTGCCATAGTGTAGACTTAGCCATAGTGTCCTTGGCTTTTTCTGCCCTTGCTCACTAGTGTTTTCTTCTGTTTTCAAGAAGAGACACACACAGCTCCATCAATCAGAGCTCTAACCCCTGCATTTGCTGTATCAGTACCAGTAAACTCCTCACACGCCATAGCATAGCTTCTTCTCACTCTTGCAAAATGGATCAGTATTTTTAGTGATGGCTTCTATTAATCTGTCTTTTACTAAAAATGGGGCATTTAACTCTCCTATCATCTAGCCAAAGTAATATTTGTAATGCTGTTTTTTCTTCTTGATGTTTAGGTGGTTTGGAATATTACATGTTTTTGTTTTTTCCAATTATCACTATCAGATAAATACCCATGTATAAACTAGGTAACATAATAAGAAAACCTCAATATTTTCAGTGAGGTTGTTTTTCTTTTACAAAGTGTTTGTCATAAGATTATATGGTAAAATGGATATTTTACATACATGATGGACCAGAAAATTATATGATGGCAGAGATAAGTATTCTACAGGTTCATTAATTAACACTACATAGTAATATGAAAAACAATTCTGGTATTTGACTTACTGATATTTTTCAGAAGATACACCGTTGACATGCTTTTATTCTTAAAAGATGGCTGATAATTGTGCTTTGTGATTCAACAGTTTTTCAAGTTGTACTTGGCTTTATTTTTCTCTCCCTTTTCATTAATTAGGATGGAAAAACAGCTTCTGCAGCAACATAAAACCTTAGGTTCACAACAAAATGAACAATATAATAAGAGAAAAAAATGCTCACCTCTTTGCCCTGTCTTTCTCATTTTCATCCATGAGATTGTCTAAACAGATTTTTCTGTTGAAAGAGTACAGAGTTATTATAACTTGTCATGTTCAGGTTAATCTCAAAGTCACTTCTGTTTTACTGTAATAAGAGACTGACAGTACCCAAGCCAAATAAATGTATCAGCAGGGTTTTAAACTCAGTCCTTAATTTTAAGAAGCATCTACTGTAGATATTATGATTCATTATTAATGATTTGTACTGCAATAGCAACCAAGGGCTCCAATAAGGGATTAAGGCCCCACTGTGGCAGGCAAAGTAAAAACATATAATAAAAAGGTAGCCGCCTCTTCGGAAAAGTGTATAGTCTAATCTGTCTATCCTGGACAATGTTTCCAAGCTACTAGGCTAGACCAGTGGGTTTTCATTTCATTTGCAGACCCTACAACATTTGGAATGAAGGTGTGGATCCCTTTGGAATCAAACATAACCTGCAGAGCTCCAGGAGTCTGAGGACCACAGATTGAAAACCATTGCTCTATGGTAATTACAACTTTTTGCGAACCCCTTAGATATGATCTGTGAACTCCCCTGGGGGTCATGGACCATAGGTTGAAAGTCTCTAGGCTAGATGAACCCCGAGATGCAGGGATGTAAACATGGAACCCCGATGCACACTCAAGGCTCCCTGTGTCCCCGAAGAGGATTCAACACTAGAGGAAAAAGCAGGTGTTGTTTCTGTTACTGCACTCCTGGGCAGTTCCTCCACTTAGGAGAAGTTTAAAGTTCGTCTAAGGACTTGGCAGGAACCCCAAACGACAAAGGTAACTCGATGATGAATAGTGGACCCTGTTCCACAAAGCTCTGAAGAATGTTAAGTCCTATTGACAGAAGCTCTCTTAGGCTACATCTACACTATACAGTTATTTTGGAACAAGTTATTCTGAAATAGTTTATTTCAAAATAGCATATCAACACTTTAGGGAAGCCTCAAAATGAGTCCGATGCAGGCTTCCCAATGTAGACATGCTCTCTCGATTTAGAGCCCCAGGAGGCCCTGGGGAGGAATAACTTAAAATGGCCCTGGCGAAGGGCTATTTCGAAATAGCAGAAGTGGAACGTCTACACACACATTATTTTGAAATAGCTATTTTGGAATAGTCATTATTCTTTGTAGAATGAGGTTTACAGCCATCCATTATTTTGAAATTATTTAAAAATAACAAAATTGCTGTGTAGACGCTCACATAGTTATTTCGTAATAATGACCATTATTCCAAAATAACTTTGCTGTGTAGACATACCCTTACTGACACAGGATTGTCCATAGCAGTGCTTAGGTCAGTGGCTTTTTCACACCACTGAACAACATAACATATATCAACATAAGTGGTAACTTGTATGTAGCCTGATACATTCATTCTCTGTTTATTGCTTGCCCCTCTTTTGCCAAGTGTTCTTTTGAAGATGGGGGACTTAAAATATTAAGGGAGGAGAATAAAGACTCATTTATCATTATCTGTGCTCACTCAAGGCATGTACTCACACTTGTATCAAAGCACAATCTCCTGCTGCACCGTTACATGCCACACAAGGGTTTTCAGATCAACAGCATAATGTTTCAACCTTTAAACTTCCTATGCTATGATTTGCAAAGTGGCGTTCTGTATCAATATTCCTTTTATTAAATGATTCCACAAAATATAGGAAGCATGATACATCAAAAGTTTACAAAGCAGGGCCACGTTAATTAATATGCATGATTTCAACATACAACTTTTGCACAGGAATTGTATTGTCTCAAGAATAGTTGTTTAAAAGCAATAATGAAAACTGATAAATGGGAAGAAGTACAGATAATTCTGTCAGTAGGTAACAGACAGTCATCCGCTATTGGCTCATGAGACCCTTCTTACTAAGAAATATGAGATATCTTTGCCAATTATACTGTTCATTTTTAGTAACAATACAAATGCAGCAAGGGGTTAAAAGCTGCTGTGCATTGGTCCGAAGATAAAGCTACTATAGGTGAGAAGCTTAATGAAATTTTAATTGGGCAGCAGAGTAACATAAAATAGGAACTACAGGAGGTATGTGTTGGATTTTATTGGTGATTGAGGTGTTCTATAATCCAGAATATAGACAAATAATACTAAGTAGTGCTCATAAAACTTTTGTACATTAGCTATTCAGGCTTCATAATACCCTCACAAGGCAGGTCAGTTCATCCATATTTCATAATGGGTACATTCATACTGCCAGTTGAATATTATTTATCAAATAATTTATTTGACAAAATTCATTACCATTTAAAAATTAATCAAGAAACATTTTTAAAAATTATTCACTGAGTCACAGATCAACTGAACTGGCAAACATTTATATTTCACAAATATACTGACATTTTCAAAAAAATAATTCAATTGTTTTTAAAATGATTTGCCCATTGGTAGAAAGTGAGACAAAGTAGTAAACTGAAATGCCCAAGAACACAGAAGCAAGGATTAGAACCCCGAAGTTCCTTGCCTTAAATCACTAGGCCTTTGCTCACATCACTAGGTTAGGCCTCTCCAGGGTCTTGAACACACACTCTGATTTTGAGTTCTGCAGTAATTGTTACCATTTTGTTCTCTTTTATTAACAAAGAGAAAAAGAATTACTGGACATCTACAGAATACATAGAATTATACAGGGAGGGGAAGCATATGCCCATACTCCTTGGCAATAGGCCAAATTCCTCTGTTCTGCCCAGGATTTGGCTTTCTCCTTGACTGATGTCAAATGCAGGACCTGCTGCAATGCTGCCAGTATCAGACATTATCTAGTTGTCACTTTGACTCCACATCCATTTGTTGACACAATCAAATCTCCAGAGAAACGTAAGTGTTGCTAACAATGTTTGTGAGTGATTACTTGACATATTCAATCAGAACTGTGTTGAATAAAATAGATATCGCAGAACAAATTATATTTTTTGGTAAATAGTTGTGTCACCCCTCTAAGGAGTTATAGAAGATATCTGGGCCTCATAGGCCAGCTTCATGTTGGAGGAGAAATCCGTGAAATGAAGTATGGGCTGGATATATTCTTGGTGCAACTTGTTTATTTTATACTATATCAAATAGTCTTTGAACAGAGGCAAGTCACAAACAACTCAAAGGGAGCACCCTCTTTCAGAACTCTCATCCCACACACCAATGACTAGGTCCCACAGAGCAACTCTGCACTAAAATTTCTCAATGTTAGAATGATTGAGCCAGAAAGCAAATTCCCATCACAAAACTAACAACAACGCAGAGTTTCTTCAAAGGCTGAACAGTGGTGCTTACACAGTAAGAACTTGCAACCCTATGAATAACAGGCCCATCTGTTCACTCCTGCCACAAGAGTAGTTAGGAATGCCAATCATGTTTGTGCCTTTCCTAATATCATCATTATCATTAGTGATGAGCAAAGATACAAAGAAAATACATTTTACTAAAAGATGGTAATCAGCTAGAATCAGCTAAGAGGACCATCAGTTGTTTCTCACTGAAGTGATCCACCAATCAATCAATCAACATTTGAAATTGATAGTTCACAATGAGAATGTACTTGAAGAGAAAGAAAGAAACCCTCAGCTCGCTTCATATATCCATTAGGACAGATCTTCTTCCACAAAGCTGCCTGACTAGTATGCTGTGGATTCCCCCGGCATGGGGGAATCTGAGGGAGCACAGAGCCAGTGAAATTATTTATCTCTAAGACGTCATCCTACATAGCTTCCATTGGACAAAGAAAGTCAGGGACATGTCCAGGGAAGGCATCTGATTGCAGTGCATTGAATGAACTCCAGCAATGCCCAGATGGCATAATGGCCCCGTGGGTGCCTCAGTTTTTAGATGTCCAACTTGAGATAATTTGGGCCTAATTTTCAGGGATGAATGTAAGAATTTGGGTAATCTGTCAATTTACAGTTTATTAATTCTTAGATTATGAACTCTCCATATATATCCTCAAGCTCCGTTTTGAACTTTGTCTTCACCATGGTCTTTTTACTGGTTTGTCTGCGGAAAATTTCTTAGCAACCAACTCATCTGGTAGGCTGATCTGGGAATCACTAGATAGAGCAGCGGTTCCCAACCTTTTCCAGAGGGGGACCCATTTTGACAATTCAGGTGACCCAAAGCAATTCAAAAATGGGGGGAGGAGGAAGGGCAGAGCACCTGGGGAGACACTTGGCGACCCTTTTGAAATGTAATGGTGACCCATATTTGGGTCCTAACCCATAGGTTGGGAAACCCAGAGATAGAGGGACTGAAAGGTTACAAGAGGCAGGAGCTCATGTATTTGGTGCCTTCCGCCACTTTCACCAGCTCAAGAAGCTGTTATGGGAGACTGATGAGGTGGGGGAACTGAGACAGTCCCCTAGCAGAAAAGTGATCTGGAATGAGGGACGCTATCATGTGTTTTAACTCTTAAGTAAAGAGCCCCATGTTTAGAATTCTGAGCAAAGTCTGTCGCTCTGTGTTATGTGCCAGACCTATCATATACCCTTGAAGGGTGCATGTGACCCCAGAGCACCATGTGGCTGTAGTTTGGGAGAAGGTAAGTTTCAGCAATGGGGCAAACTGAGGAGTCAGGAGCTAGGCAGTTGGACCATGAGGCCTAAGTTCTCAGGAACGGGCATGGGATGGAAGATCTGCACTGCGAGTGTGGGCCTAAGGACCCCAAACTAAAGGCAGTGCATTGAGTCTGTTCAAATTCTGGAAGCTTAAAGCATGTGGGCAGTTCAGTAATCAAATCCCCTCACAGCAGCCTGATCTGTGCACGAGCAGGAGTGTTTTACTAGATCTGTGACAGGGAATCATCGTTTTTTCTGCTCAGCAGCTCCAACTCAGAGCTGGGAGAGCTCAACAGTTGTACAAATAAAGTTCAACACATCTCAAGTCAATAGCCACTTCTGAAAATGTTGGCCAAGGCCCTTGTGGAAGTTCCACATTCCTGAGGGATTTGTTTAAAAGAGTAAAATGCTGAAGCTTGGTAATGAAAGTTAAAGGATAAAAGCAGTCTTTGCGCCACACGTCTGG